TACAGGGTGATTCACGAGGAATAATGTTATAATAAAGTTATGGTGGTTACATCGAAAATTTGGTCAGGCTCATTATTCCTCGTGAATCACCTTGTATACTTTAAATTTTACAATTGATAAGAAAACGATGCAGATTTTATTCAGATATTTTTCAATTTCAATATTATTGTAAAACTAAAAAGGGCAACAATCCCAATGTTGTTGTTTTTTTACGAAATAAAAAATCATATTTTTTCAAAGAGAGTTACATAGACTATTTTTGTACCCATTTAACTACAAAAACGTTGTTGCAATGTTGCGATTTAAAACAGGATATAAGATTCCATCAATTTGCTGTTGAAACATTTAGTAATTCAGATTAAGCAGAACTTTGCTAAGCACAGTTCAGTCCCAAACACATTCTTGTCTAAATTGGATGTACGCAATAACGTTTTTGCAAGATCTCAGTTTAGATTAGATCAAAGAGTCGTTTTTTGCATAAGTGTATGTTACCAAATCTGCTTAACCTGCACTCCTACAGACTGATAGTGATTTCAGTTTTAATATAATATTTAAATACTTGCCGAAAGAACAATTTTCGCTTAAAACAATCGTGTAGCTGACCTCTCGATTGAGTAGCAATTTGTGAACATAAATAAAACAATAAAACTTGGTATGTATGCTTTCTTTCTAACCTCTGGGGACAATACCCTGCAACATAAGCACGCCTAATGGTACTCAGTAGGGCTTTATGTGTTGTTCCAAAAACTCCCCTTGCATAACGGCAGTTTCGGTTTTCGTTGGTCAAAACTATGTATAAATTTCTTAGTGTTTGTGACACATGAGACTGCAACTTCATAAACTGGCTTGTCGTGGATGAAAAGCGCAGTGAAGCGTACTCTTAGTTAAAGTTGAAGTATGTATACAAGCAAAAATGCACTCGAAATGGCTGCTTAATTGGTGTTTATAAATAATATTATTTACAATATGAGTTGTATAAAAATAGTTAACAGGAGTTTTAAAGCTTGTTACAAGTTTTGTACATACCATTAGTCAAATTGGGTTGACATTATAGTATGTAGTTTTAGAGGCTTATAATAACGAAAATGTAACACATCAAGTTTAATTAATCAACATAAGTTCTGAAACACGGTGAAAAAATGTGTATCAGGTTAAAACACACCATAAATAGCTACAGGGTGATTTTAGCAGTTTTTATTAAAATAAAATTTTGTTGCTACTTTTGCTAATGTTTTTTTTTAATTTATGACCCATCAATTTTTTATTAAATCTGTGTATTAGTTTAAAAAGTAATTTACGGACGTGCTTATAATACAAAGTGGAAAATATAGGACGGGCGTGCAATGACAAATAAATATCCAACTCTGCAATCGTGCGATTTTCAATCTAATTATATGGATAAAAATCAATGTTTCATGTGATTAAACACCATTCCGTGACTGTAAATTGTTTCATGTTTGAAGTTAAAATTTTACCTGTAATTATTAAGCATCGGTTTTGCATAAAATTTACTTATATAGAGGTACGCCAGAACTTGCGCCCCAGAGAAAAATTTCAAGTAAGATAAGATACCAGGAACATGAAAAAAATGTTTAAAAAATTCTATCTGTCAAAATTGACATTTTTTATGTCTATTTAATGATACTGATGATCTTGTATATGTTTTTTTACAATTATTTAGTAAAGGTATAAAAATTTTGCCAATAAAAGTCACAAATAACATTGAACAGAGTTACAATTTAGCATACAGCCTCTTTATTTCCTCTTCTAATAGACTTGCAAAAAAACTTGGAAAATTATTTTTCCAACCGAAATAAACAGAGTCAAAGTGCAAAATTTAAACTCTCATAACTTCGAAATTTTTAGAAATTTTTTTAAAACATTTTTCTTGTTATCTAGGGCATCGCCCAATGATACAATGTCACGGAAGTGCGCGACTTTCCGGACACGCTGTATAATCATTTAATTTCAAAATTGAACGTTTTCAATAACCTTTGATTTTTTGAGTAATACAGTTGGAGACAAAATACTTTGGTCGTTAATGTCACTTGAGTGACATTAAATTGTAAAGCATGCTTTAGGACTGTTAATCTTATTTTTAGCTACTGTCAATCATAGTTGACAAGTTGTATGTACATATTTTTGATAGAAAAATATAATAGCTGTCAATAATTTGAAATTGTCATTCATTTTAACGTTAAAGCTTGACTTACATTAAAGTGTCACAAAAGTGACGACCAAAGTATTTTGTCTTCAACTGTACGAACAGTTACTGGCCAAATAATTAATCTCACTTTTGAAATTTTAAATTCTTGAAATAATTTTAATTTAATTAAGTCTATGAGTATGGTTAATTGTTAATCGACCAATAAAAGAGAAGTATTTCAGTGAGATAATTCTTCAAAAACAAGAGAATTTCAATTCTACGTTGACTCGAAAAATCCCCAGACAGGAATCCTATAGAAAATGTTTTAAAACATTAAAAAAAAATAATTGGGATAAGAAAAAATTACAACTACAATTAATCTTACTAAAGAGAATCATGAACCATAAACCACAATTTTTTTTTTAAAATCCTCTTACGATACATCGCAAGTATATCTCGTGCAATAGAGACTTTGTTAAAATCCAGGATAGTTTATCCAAATATTGTGCAAATATTTTGCACATACGGCTTAATTACATACTCGAATAACCACAAAACAAAATAGTGAATCTAATATGGCCAAATGGCCAGAAACTGTAATTTCAAGAAGTGACACGTTGATTAGGATCGTAAGAGGGAAGTTCAAAACGATTTTTAAAAGCTTTTTACTTTAAAATTTTAAAAAGCATCTCTTACTTTATCAAACATTATTTAGAAGATGTAAAAAGCTAACCGTGGTAAAAAATAAGTAGTCGGTTATACTCTAAAATAAATGATTGTTCCACAGTTTTGTTCCATAATTGCAGCTTAGCTGTTATACCTAGATAAAATCCGTGATAACCAAAATATTATTGACATGGAAAAAATGTTTAAAAAATTCTCTGTCAAAAAAATTTGACATTTATTTTTTGACATTTGACATTTTTTATGTCTATTTAATAATACTGATGATCTTGTAAATGTTTTTTTACAATTATTTAGTAAAAGTACACAAATTTTGCCAATAAAAGCCACAAATAATATTGAATAGAGTTACAATTTAGGATACAGCTTCTTCGTTTCCTCTTCTAATAGACTGTTGCAAAAAAACTTAAAATTATTTTTCTAACAGAAACAAATAGAGTGGAAATACAAATTTTAAACTCTCTTAACTCCGAAATTTTTATAGATAGAATTTTTTAACATTTTTATCTTACCATTTTTCTCTGGGGCGCGAGTTCTGGCGCACCCTGTATACATTTGGTAAGGGTGAGAGCACAATTCTAGATAAAATTTATAAATATTCAATCTGCGGCGTGATGCGAAGCTCAGTCAAACGATTTATCAGGACAAAGTACGAGATAGTATCTAACCTGACATCGCATTCTTGATGGTCCCTTAAACCTTCGTTCGGATGTTTGATTACACCACCCTAGTTCCATCATACGGTAAATTGCAAAGAAAACAATTTCGGAAGAGGATTTTTCGGCCTTTTACCAATTGGATTTATCTCGTATCGTTTTTATTAGTTGCTTTTCCTATTTATTCACCGATTCGGCAATTTAGCAACGCAGCTTGAATCCCCGGTGACAACAAACTGTGATAAATAACGCATATGTATCGGTTGAATTGCTGTTCTGGATATCCTGTAATTGTCTTCATTTCATTTTGTTTCCTTTTCCGTTCAGCAGGAGGAATATTGTGTTTGTTCATGTTATTTTTGAATCATAGCCAACAATGTCCTGTTTGCCTCGATATGTTTGGACCGTTTTTTGCCAATTATTATTTAATCAAAAAGTTAAATGTTCCTGTCATGCATATGCAAGACGAAATGCGTTGAGTTGACAGTTTTATCACAGCGCGAAAGCAATTAAAAAACCGCGCCGGAGAGATGTCATTATTTCAAAACAAACAAAAATTGCGCATTTGCACACATAAATATGCATACATTCAAACACTAAATAGACTTTTGCGATCCAGAAATTGGAAAAAAAAAGAAACGTAACAGTGGATAGGTACTCTTTTTACATAATATAATACCAAAATTATTCCTGTTAAAATATTTAAATATTTCAAACTATTGATCTTAATGATTTTCAGGTCTAGATTTAAAAAAATGGATATAAAAAACGTTTAACTTTTTATAGAAACTACGATAATGTACTCAACTACTTTGTTTTAAGTGCACCCAAGTGGATAAACTTTTTATTTACACTTTTATGAATAATTACTTACTAACTTTATATTCTTATTATAAACTGTTTCTAAAATTACTAAGAAAATAGGAAACAACCCAAAATAATATTAACATAGAATTTAGGATATATTTAATGTCAAAATAAAGTTTACGAGACAGTTTTATGGAGTTAATTTATAGAAATTACAGTACTTAAGTTTATGATAGAAATTTCGCATTAAGTGGGGTTTATAATCTAGGCCTTTGGGCATTCTAATAACTCGCTGTATTAAACAATTTGTTAGCAACCTCAGTTAAACCAAGTAAACTGAAACTGGAAAATTAGCAACGTTCACCTACTAAAACATTAAAATTATTGTAACAATTTTGGTGGATGCGCCGGGCCAAACAATTTACATTTCGTAATAATTAAGAAAAATTGCAAAGTAACGCTGCTGACACAAAATATTTGCTTCCATCGACCGATAAGCGTTCTAAAAATAGCCCCGTCTTCCGGACCACTTATCACTTTCGACGCAAACTCGAAATAATAAACATAACACGAATAAAGTAACATAATTAATTACCAATATTTGTCGAGTTATAATCGGGTTAAATTTATAAATAATGTCAATGTTTATGAAAGTTTCGATAAGAATAAATGAAGAATAAAAACAGTTATCTATAAGCCAGGCTTACCACGATTCTTGGCTCCTCGTTCACTTCTGATAAGCACTTCATGGTCGTCTTCCTCCCATATCTCTCCGTCTGCCACAGCCAGAGTTATCAATACGACGGCTAATACGCATAATGCTAACCACTTCATCTGGAAAATCAAAAGATGAGTTACAAAAGTATTAATTAACGGCTTGTGTATGTGAGAGATACGCTTTACCGTTTGTTGTTGCTCTAAAGCCCTCAATTCAACCTCGGCAGGTTAATTGGCCGCCATTCAAACACAAAAGTAATCCGGAAACAATATATGCTTTATAGAGCTTAAATTTTTGAAAACAGTTCATTTTTCAAATTTTGTGACTAGTAGAAGTTATTTAGGTTTTTGTTAAATTTATAAGTAAGAGGATCCGCCCGAAATAGAGATGTGGTGTTATGGTCATTACTCTTGTTGCAAATGTTGCAGCACTGGCGAGATAAATAATCTTTTATTTTTGTCTGTACTCTTGGCAGTAAATTCGGTCATGTCTTTAGATCCGAGTGCAGCAATTTCCTCTATCATTAATCAAATGAAAATAATTGATATATATCCACCTGAATGGCCGGGTATATTTCGTGTAAATTAGTAGCAAAGTTCATTTTTTGCTTCATCAATAACTCAGCTTCTACCCAATTACAGCCATATCTACGAGCGGCCTAATTTATTTCAGTGAAACGCTGCTGGAACAGCATGTAAAACAGTTCATTTGCGGATGCGGTATATTTCAGAAGTACTTACAAGAGCTCACCAATGTTAGGTAATAAATATGCCTTGTTTTTAGTATATTTTGCTTCCAAGCAATTTGCGTATATTATACAACCGGGCGCTGGGCTTCGTTAAAATTTTTAATAAAAAATCGATGGAAAAAGGGCGCGCTTAACACCTGTACTTTTCTTGAAATAGATGGGCGAGATATTTGTTGCATGAAATAATTAAAGCCTACAGAAAATTTTTAAAAAATATTTTATACTGAATGAGGTGTATAATGTAACAGCATTTTCTACTTAACGCGGAGTCTTGTAAAAATCTGGTTATATCAACAAAGCAAGTATTTGCAAAAGCTTTCTTAGCCACTTAATTAAAAAGTACAAGAAAAAAGCTTTTAGAAAATTACGAGGTTTTCACTACTTAAAATTATTCACGATGCAGACAAAGTGTTTATTAAAATTAAATTAAAAATGCTACAAAAGGTATCACCCACTGCTTACAACATTATTTTTACTTTAGGAAAAGAAATCTTTGTCTTATAAAAATGTTTGTTCAATAAATTTCTAATCACAAAGGCCTGTGACTTTGAAATTAAGTTGGCAACATTGAATACCTAATGCAGAGACAAAAGCATAATTATGAACAGAATATATAAAAATTGACGAGCCTCAAATTTTGTGTCAACATTTTCCAATTTTTTCAATGCATGCAATAAATAGCTGTTATTGCTTGGGGTATGAAAAGTAGCTATTTCATGGTGAAATATTGTAATTTTCATGAACAATGAATCAATATTTTTTGCATTCAAGTTTGGCTGTATTGCTGTCAAAACGTAATTTTTATTAGTTGATATTGATGCCTAGTAATTACCATTTATTTGTTCTGACAGAAAGTATTATCGAGAACATTAGTAACAAGCATAGACAGATTTGATAAATGTGATTGAAAGAATTTAAATCTGCGAAATGTAATTCCATTTTTTATAAAATTTGTTGATTCAAAAAATAGTAAAGGTCTAATAAACATTAAATTAGCATTTAATGGAATTAGTTAAAGTTTATTTTACGATATTTGAAACTTTAATATATTGAATCAATTTTAATTATTGTGAACAATATTCGACGCTGTTTTATACTGTTAGTGGCGCCCTCGCCAAATCCATTTCCATTTTAAATTAAAGCAACCTCATAATTTCTCATTAGGAAGTAAAATTTCATTAGCAAATACTGGTAATGTACACCCAGAGACAAATTTTTCCATACGAATGCTCTGCGATAAAAAATCTTCAAAAAACTTGATTCAAAATAACTTCATATTGGCAAACTTTTGATAAAATTGTTATTTTTATTGACGTCAAGTTGATTGCTGAATTAATTAGAGTTTATTTCCTAAATTTTAAGGATAGGAGCTGAAGGCGTGACAACGTCACTGACTGAATTTATTTTAATTGGTAAATCGTAAACTTTATTAACTTGAATAATAAGAAACAATAATTAAGTCGTGAAAAACGATGCCTTAGAACTTTGTGACTTCTGCAGTATATTTAATTTGACTCAGTTACAATTACTTTCCTCTGCAACAGCTTGGAAATTTAGCATACATTCTGCAAGAGAATCGCAAGGTGTCTACTTCCCTAATAACATTAACAGTTTGAGTAAATTTCAGCAACTGATTACATCCGGTTCTTGTTAAGTAGGAGAGGGATTTTGGTTAATACCAACCTTCGCGTGAATCAGTTTTCCTGATAGAGAAAAAGTTCAGCGTAAAAAGGTAGTTCATATAATAAATGACTCAAATTTTTATCATTTAACTTTGGGAATGTACCCACCTACGCGAACGTGCGTAAGCTGTAATACAGATCCATATAAAAGGCCAACGTTAGATGATTGCCAATTATGACAACAAGAATTATGACCCTTCAAAATCAAGCTATTTATTAAAAGTTGTGCCAGATTTATGTTCCTATGTCCGTCCAAGCCACATTTTTCCCAAATCTATTGGAAAAATGACCACCTGGCACCGCACAAATCTGCTTTTCCAGAATATATTGCGTTTATTAAAAGCCTTTTTAAGACATAATAAACCGAAAGATTCTTTTTGTTTTTCAATAAAACAAACTTTATATTCATCGTGGTATAAAATCAGTTATAATATTGGCTAACATAACTTAATATAGATAAAGAAATTGCTAATGTCATTGTGATATAAAAATGAAAACTTTTAAGTTTGGTATTTTAGATAAAAGTGTAGTAAAATGCTTCTTTAAGACTCGACTTTATAATGCAATGTCGAAAAATGTCATACAATTTATATGCTCTTATCCAATTTTACGTTTATTGCTGCTCTGATGTTAAGGTATATCAAAGTTTAGAATTAATGTCGCTGAAGAATAAATGTTATACATGAGAAAAATTTGGTATAATATTAATCGACTTTAGCTTTTACATTAAGAAGTAAACTTAAAAAAAAGAAACACAAAATAAAAACAAAGTTTTGTTATTTTACTGTTTAGTTTGTAATTATGTTATGATTAAAATAAATTTGAAGTTTCAAATATAAGAATTTTTTTTATAAATAAGCTGTCCTGACGAAAGTGATTGATTGCTTCATTTATCATCTTCAGACAAATAATTCAGAATTTTAATAAATCCATCATTTTAAATAATGTAATGTTGTATTAAAAATAATTCATATTATGTCTCAGTAAGGTTGTTATTTTTTAATAACAGGAAATATACAAACATAATTTAAAAAAAAAAGTTATATGACCACTTTTAATGACTGCAAATGGCAGACAGTACATCTGCCAAGTAAAATTTGTTTTATAATAATTATAACTTACCATTTTATACAGTCTAAAAATCCTAGATAATGGTTATCTATTGTGCCTACAAGTGTGTTATATTGCAAATAAGTCATGCAATGAAAGGTTTACTTTTCTTCATTCTTCACTTTCATATTTTTTATAAAAAAAATTGTTTGTAAAAAATTGTTAACCTTATGTTTTATTTTGTTGTTATTTTGTTTTGTTATTACTCCTATTTTAAAGTTGACGTAGTACTGTAGAAGAGAAACCCTGTATATTTTTAAGAATTTTCACACATTGGTGCAGATTTAAGAATTTTTTGGCAAAAATAAAATTAATGAAAAATACGAACACACCAAAAATCTTAATTTTTATGTAACCGTTTATAATAATTAATATTAAATTTAAAATATTTTTACCTGATATTTTGAGGAAATGAAACAATAAATTGCATAATTAAAAAACTTTCTTTTTATATAGGTACATATAAACGAATATACCTACTCTTCCTCACAGAACTCATAAAAATGAGAGAAACAAATTAAAACTAACTTTTATTGCAATAGCTTCAATAAGAATAAAAAGTAAATTCAATTCATATTTAAAAACTTTAATACATTTTTTTATAATATTGAAATAATCAAATTTTTAATTCGAAAGCTTCAAGCTTTGAGCTGCAGATAATTATAGAGTTCAAATTTACCTATAAAATCAAATACGTACCGAGCAAATTTACATTAGAACAGTTATAAGTAAACCACAAACCTCAAAGCAGTTTGGAATATCAGTTTTGTGTAACTAACAAAAACTCAAGCATAATTTGGATGCTAGATATATGCAAGAAGTAACGCAATATTTTTTTCTGACACATAAGATCCGTTTTTGTACTAATCACTTTAGAACTTTACTTTTAAGTTTAACTGAGCTTTATATGGAAATTTTTTTATATGAGAAAAAATGTGTCTTAAAATAACTACATTCTTTCTTTGCATTTTTTTAATCTTGAATAAAAAGGCCACTTTTATTGTCTTTTAATAATCCAAAGAATTTTTAAAAACAGATCACGCCAATAATTGTCTAACTACTTTTATAGATTTTTTACATAATAATTCTTCACCTTACATTATTAGTACCTGAGGCAAATAATTTAAATTCTTTAGCAGAACAATAGCTTGTTTTTTGTAATAAATACCACCAACCTCATCAAATCCTACATAAAGTCTATAACGCAAAAGCGCGGTTGTAGAATGTTCTGTCTAACTTTTGGATCAATTTAAAGTTATAGATGAGTAAAACGTGATTTAGGTTGCTGGTTGGTTTTAAGACGTGTATGCGGTCCTCCCTCAACTTTGTTACTAAATGTAGAGATACCCAAGTTTATATTGCAAATTTGAGAACTTTTTAAACAAATTATGGAAATGTAAATATATATCTTCAAAGTTTTTCTAATATAAGATATGAATTATTAACTAGTATTAATGAATTATTAACTATTCTGAGAAAAAAATGTTACACGAATTGTTTAATTTGAAAACTACAGTCAATATTTATTGTTTGTTGATATGCAGTCTCAGAGACGAATGTTATGTAAAAGAAAAATGTAATTTAGTCTTCTTCGCTAATACAAATGCAAATATCATTTGTCGCTGTCGAACGCAACTGTGACTATCTATGGTTTTTTGAATATTTTACAAATGATTCATTACTAACTATGGCACCATATTTTATTTGAAATTTCAAATTAATGATTATAAAAAACTAGAAAATTAATTCAGAAAATTTATATTAAAACTTCATTCTCAGAAGTTGTACGTTCTCGTACGTAAAGTTGCAGCTTTCATCTTCACAAACATACAAACAAGTTTAAGTAAATTCTATTTGTTTTATGCATGAATGCAGTTTGTTTACACACAAAACGATATTAAAGTTGGTTTAATCGAAATTAAACCAGAAATAAATTCCAACATATAATAATCACGCATGCTTTAGTGCTTTAAATTCATCAAGAGCAATAACGAAGGAGTAATTTGTGAATTTCAAAATATTACAAAACAGAAGCAACAAATTGCGGTTAAATTAAATTAAAATTAAAACCAAATTAAATAAACAAAAAGTTTTTCTGATATTAAAATGTACGAATATGTATATAAACAATTCTAGTTTCAAATGTAAACGCGTTAAGCTTCTACAATATTTACATTTAAAAAATGCTCATATCAATTCGAAAGTATTAACGGCATTTTACTTTATAAAAAAGTTTTTTTATAATAATAATACTTATTAAAAGTAAATGCATGTATTTGATTCCTTTGAGTAAAGTACAAAGACAAAATTTATTCGTTTTAAAAAACTCCAAAATCTGTCGTTGTTATACAACGTGTTTAAAAATGATTTTCATCTAGTCGCCTATGGAATTACCATGTAAAATAAAAAATGCCTCTTTTAAAAATACTGAATCTAATCAACCTCAAACGTTAATTTATTTCGATTGACAACTGTCAGTGTTGACAGAACTATTTGGTTCAAAAAGAGTAGAGAAAAAATTCGACAGACGATTAGATAAAAATCATTTTGAAACACATTGTATATATAATTACGTACACTTGAATCATCTTCTATAAAATTGTATTATTTTTTTTACCACAAAAAATACATTGATAAAATTGAATTGTCAAAATTGAATTTTTTTTTTTTATGTAAAACCTAAATACCTACGTAGTAAGTTAAAGTGTACAATTTTTATTTTTTCGATTTTTTTACAGGTTGATTCCCTACTAACATTAAGTGCAATCTAAAATATTAGATTTAAATAAAAAAATGTTACTTTTAAAGAATCAAGTTATTTATCAATAATTAAAACGAGTTGTATTCAAAACATTTTTTTACAGGTTGATTCCCTACTAACATTAAGTGCAATCTAAAATATTAGATTTAAATAAAAAAATGTTACTTTTAAAGAATCAAGTTATTTATCAATAATTAAAACGAGTTGTATTCAAAACTCGTAGTATTATATGAATCACCCTGTACAGTTTAGTCGTACTTGAGTTAAAATTATACATCTTGCATTTAAAAGTGTGCTTAAAAGCATTTTATGATCTTTTTATAATGGTTTCAGAAACAAAATTTATTGTGCGAAATTGCAGCTGGGGTGTATTCGATGTAATATATGATTCAAATAATTCTAATAAAAGTAAAACGTTCAATACTGAGGTGAAACCAACCAAATAAGTGCGAACGCTCGTAATATTAAAATTTGAATATTAAATTTAAAAATTCTACGGCCTTTTCATATTATCATATTTTGGCCCGGCTTTCATCGCACAATAAATAAAAATCGAATCAACGACAAACATTTGCGTATAAAGTCTTAAAACAAGAATCTTTCCAAAAAAAGTAATTTCATTTTAGATTTCCACATTATCTCTCGTGGAACGATTTTAAATCAATTTGAAACTAAACCTGCAACTCGCATCAAACAATTACCTTGCAAAAAGCTCGCAACACCAACAAACTCGCCATGTTTGTAAACTAATAATTTTTGATTATTTTAGTGGTCTGGTTACACAAAGATAAAGGTTGTGCATGAGTATCTGCATAAAAATTAAATTTTAATTAAAAAAATGCCTTGTAAATTATTTTAGAACTTATTTTAACTACACAAAAAGTTGTGATTTTAGAACAGATTTTAGAAATAAAGTAAATAGCGAGGATTTGTTGAAGTGTTTGCGGACATGACAATTAAACAAATCATTTGTATAATTAATTACATTTGTGCAAAACCTTTCGAACAATAAATCAATTCGATTTGTTGTAATCTGGACATTGATGTTGACCCAAAATGGCTAACAGTAATCTTTTTTGCAAACAAAAGCGTGAGAAAATGGTCTGGTATTAATATAATATTCTGTTTTATGCATCCAAGATTTTGGATTTAAAAAGTCCAATTTTATTAAAATTGAGACAACAAACAATGGCGTATTGAGACAAGATAAGGCGACGTTGAGTGATTAGCATTGACGAAGGCGTTTATTAGTGTTGAGAGGGTTGGTGTTTGCTCGTCGATGTTTTTAGTGTCGTTTTCTCGTCTTCGTCGCATCGTTGATGAAATAACAATTAGAGAAATGGGGTGGTACTTACCTCGTTAGGTGTCGGAAGACGCGTTAAATCGGCGAAATGTGCAAGAAACACCACAAGTCACTGCAGCGCCGACTGAAGCAAACGAAGATGAGATGAGAGTGGGTACTGAGTTCCGCGATCGTGTTGAGAGAGCGGAGCACAGAAGAGACGTCTATTGATCACTGTACAGGCGAGAACAGCGGGCGGGGATCCAGGATATACCGCCGCCGCCGCCGCCCGTCCCTCTGCGCGCGACAGGCCTCCAGGACCGACTGAGGCTGCCTCAAAATGTTGCGATCATGCCAAAGATCTTGTCGACATTGAGTATTGTTTTGCGGTTGCACGGCCTTTATGTCCTCGGACTGGAGACTGATTGTCTATTTTATTGTTGCCACCAGTTCAAAGCTCGTTGCTCTGTGGGGACGAGCTTTGACTGGAATTTGCGCCGGTGAAGGGTGCTCGCAAAAGCTTATCAATTATTGTTCGACTATTTGTGCGCTTTAAGTTTTCACCAAAGATTTTCAGAGTTTTATACACTGGCTCCAGAATATTTTACAAGCACAGGTAGACCAAAGAGTCTTATTTATGACTTTCGGCTTCGAGAAACCTTATAAGGGGTTATTTATTTTTTGCTACTACATTTATTATGGTTTGCTTTTATTTGCGAGTTTACACCGCGTTTAATGAAATATTGTCTACGAAAAATTATAATTAAACGCTGTCGCGAAATAACTGAACAATTAATAACTTCAGTACCCACCTTAAACAGCAATGGAACCATTTGTTTTTGTTTTTCACTTATTTATCAACTAAAGTTTCGATATAAATTTTTGTTGTTTCTTAAAGAAGAAATGTGAAGTTAGTCTGTTTATCTATTATTTTCTTGATTCATCAATTCAAAACAACGCATCAGAAACCCGATTTTTAAAAGAATGACGAAAGTACGTTATAAACGCTTCACCTCATCGAATTTGTGTCTTCTTAGTGCATTTCTACACCCTCAAACCGCAAAATTTTAAATTTATATTTTTGTTTAAATGTTTGCACCTAATTTCATCCCGTTATACGTTGGTTTTTGATAAGTGTTTGATTAGTGCACTTCTCTACTCTCTAGGAAAAATATTTTCCAAATTTCATGTTTCTATCCTTCGTTTAAACATGTACACCTCATTTCACCCCCTTAAAAACTGATTTTTAAAAATCTCGTCTTAGTGCACCTTTGCAACCGCCAAAGAACATATCTTCCAAATTTTATATTTCTATCTTCGTTAAAGTTTTGACAACATATTCCACCCTCTTGTAAATATAATTCAAAAAAATAATTTTAGTTATTATTTCAAAAAAATCTTATCCTAGTGCGCTTTTACAACTGATAAGGAACATATTTTCTAAATTTTTTCTTTCTATCTTTGTTTAAACATTTACACCCCATTTTATCCCCGTAGAAATTTATTTTCAAAAAAATTTTCTTAGCGATCCTGTACACCCTCTAAGAAACATATCTTCTAAATTTAATGTTTCTATTTTCGTTTAAACTTATACAACCCGTTTCACCCCTTTTTCTAAGAGAGTAAATAAGTTTTTACTAATTATTTTTGAAAAATCTAGTTTTAGTGCACCTTCACAACCGCTAAGGAACATATCTTCCAAATTTTTTGTTTCTATCTTTGTTTAAACATTTACACCCCATTTCACCCCCTTAGAGGTTGACTAGCGGACCTCTACACCTTCTAAGAAACATATCTGCCAAATTTCATGTTTCTAGCTTCAGTGGTTTAGTTTAATTAAATAAAAAAAATGTATGTAAGGTAAATATACCTTCCCTTCTTGTCTTGCTCCCTATACATATTCCAAACCTGAAAATAATTTTTGAAGTGCATATATCCAAATTTTTCTGGCCTTGTTGATCTTTTCTACCATGCCATATCGTTTTTTATTTGCGATCAATTTGATTTTGGACAAAGTCTAAAAGTCACTGAGGGACGAATCTGTTTAATATGGTGGTTTGAGACACAAAAAACAAAAGGCATCAAAGTCTTTTTTCATCGTTTTGCAGTCTTTTTGAAATCATTTGTACACAGTTTTGAGATACAGTAAAAATTCACTATAAAAAAATAATAACATTATGCGTTTTGGTTCTATGTTTGAAAAATATTTTAAATCTATTTTTGTGAAGACAGATCAATTTGCAACTTGCTATTTTGATGACAGAAGTTGATGTAGTTAAAAAAAAAACAGAACACAATAGAGCTGTGGATCGATTGGAATCAGGTTTTAAATATTTATATAAATATTTTAGTTATTTTACACAAAATGATTAAATAAATACAGGGTGTTTCACTCAACTTTACGAGGCTTGCGCCTAATATACGCACCCAAGTATACAAAAGTCACAAAACACTGGATACAAAAAATACACAATCAATTATTTAATTTTTGGAAACCCGTGACAGTAGTTGTCAAACTAATCACTGTTTCATTAATAGTCATAAACTGCAGTTTTTCAGAAACAATTATTATTTGTTGTATCAAGAGACGGCATGAATATGATTCTAGTTTATCTATCTTAACCACAAACTAACCAAAAACATTGTAATTTTTGAAAGGGTGAACAAACTAGAGAAGATTATCCAATTTTTCAAAATTTGTAATCGAGTTCGTATCGGAATATGTATTATTGATTGCATCTTACAGGCGCAGGCCTCGTAAAATTATGTGAAACACCCTGTATTTGAATATTTCAGTACTTATGTGCTTATGTTTAAAATATGCAAATTTTAACATTTTTATCATAATTTTTAAAAGAATATCAAGTAAAAATTTATAATCTCTAGTATTTATTTTCAATTTTGCTATGTAGGTACAATAACCTGAATTTTGTTTATTACTTTATAATCACATTTTGTTTTTATCGTTGGATGGTTGGTGTAACTACACTAATTAATGTGTAAAGCTTTATGCTGCAGAGATTTTAAAAACTGAAAAAAGTGGTAAAAAGTGTTATTGAATTTTCCGATTTGTTTTTATTTTTTGTTAATAAATATATGTTTGAACAGAAGAGTTATGAATTTTATGCGCAACTTTATCATCTTTGTATATTTAACTAAAATTTAAACATAACACAAATAGATTATATAAATGTTATCAACGGATTTATTTTGTAAATACCAAATTAGTTTGGTCTGTTGTTAAATTGTTAATTTGATAATAAATTACTTGTTACATGTCACGAAAGAAAAATAACAAACAATAAAAAAGATGTGTTCAATTAAAAATTTAATTAACTTTTACCCCTTTGTAAAATTTATTATAAAAAAAATTTCGTTGAAATCGTATTCATTATTCATTTAAGTTAACATTTTTATTGCTTTTGGCTAGTACGTGAAATTAGAGAGTATTCTAATACAAGTAAAATAAAAATATTTAATTTTGCGTTATACATTATAATGTAGTTTAATTTTAAGAGGTTTGTTTCAGTCCAAGGTAGATACAAATTTTCTACCAGTTGGTGATCATAACATTGAGTAGGTATCAGTTTAATTTATTTAAAAAAAAAACGGATAATTGAAAATCTGAAAAGGGATTTAGCATTGCGCTTCGCGAATTTCGTAATATCTTTCCAGTGGTAATTATTATTAAAATTTTACAACTTTGTTCTGTTACGAAGCCATAAAACGCTCGTAAAATATCAGCTTGTGCTGAAATTTAAATATGTTAATGCACGTGTTGTCTTGCTTGACAAAATAACATCCTTTAACCACTTAAGAGGATTGAAACTGTCCCCACATTTTGTCACCAGATGAATGGTTGGGAGCCGAAGCCAACATCTGCATCTGGGCGTTTGGGCGAGTCGTGTAACACACATGGACCAAATTGATTTAATTTCATCAAACAGTTTCAAGACACGACGGCTTGTGAAACGAAACACTACGAGACCATCTTCCATGATCAATTTGATGCTCTCTTATCCCAACAAACCTTGATCATGTTGATTTATAATTACGACGACGAGGAGAACATTTGGGGCAAGGGTGTGTCATAAGTGCCCCTGGTTTTACCGCCTGTGCTCAAAACGGAGGGAAAATGGAGTACTAAATTAAATTGTGATGGATGCAAATTAGGTAGTTTGTGGGTGTGATTTTCAATAGTAATTAGCGCTAACGAGAGAGAATCTCAGGTTGAGTGAAACCCCTAGTAGATAACTTTATGAAACCAGTAGTTCTTTCTTAGAATTGATATAATATTTTGGTGTTTCTGGTGACTAGTACAGTCACTGTATGATTAAATAAATTTTGAAATATTCATCTCGAAATAAATTGAAACATAAAGTTAGTGTAAACCCTCAGATACTTAAATAAGTATAAATATTATATTTGGAATTATTTTGTGTTTAATTAAATTAAAGCGTCACTTTTATAATGGAGTCAAGAGCAAAAATATATTTGATGGAGATTTTGATAAAATTAATTAGGGTCGCTGTTTCCTTTTGTTGTGATAATGATTTCATTTCATTTCTTATGTTAACAAAAATACTTAACTTTGTTTTGAATAGAGAGGTATTTTTCTTATCATTTTCAAAGAACATCATTATCTTCTTATTTTGCTCAATAATTTATTTTTTACATTGTAACAAAATCTCAGGTTTTGTGTAAGATTCAGAAAAGGAAAAATTGGATACCACGCAAAATAATAAAAATAAATCTTTGAATCTCTCATCGCTTTTTAAATTTTTATTATTAATATTTACTAATTAATTGATTATAAACATCGAAAAATGTAATTTGAAAGAAATGAAAATTTATATAAAGCATAACATAAAATTACCTCTTATTTGGCTTTTGAGAATTTTTTCTATGCATGCATAATTATAATGCCTTTTATATAATTTTTTTCTATATTATTTCTACACAAAAGCACACAATAAGCCGCCCGTCAGACCAACACTTTCCTCCAGTTTCTCCTCCAGTCCTTGCTTACAAATTTTTAATATTCCGCCTTTTTTATCTCTCCTCAGTCAAAATGTATTTGCGGCCTGTCTAATTCCGCATCGAAATTTTGTCAGCACTTTTATTTTCTACGTTCTTTACACGTCGTATTTTTCTCTGTTGGTGTTTTCACATTTCTTCAACACAGGATATCCGCTTCTTTTTACGCCTAACATTTATAATATCCTGTCAGCAAGATTTCTAAATATTCTTGGTCTGATTTTTCAAATCTGCAAACTCGTATTTATTGATATTTTGACATACATCGTTCTTAAAACCTATTTTTTACGCTTTATTCTCCAGAAATCGAAAAAAAAAATTGTAAAGAATTT